AGCTTGACCTCACTCCACTATTGACGACGAGAGAATTCAGAGATGCACAAAGGAATGGTCCTCCAACATTCTCCAAGCAGAATTCCACATCAACGCCCTCGAAGTCATATATACCACCACCGATGCCACCGAGACAGCCACCGCGTGGCTTAGAAGAGATCATGCGAGAAGACTCCTCGGTCTATAGCAGCATTGAGTCTGAACCCGACAGAAGACAGAAAGAGCATAAGTATGGGTTTGAAGCAGTCGAGGATATAGAAAGCCTGATGTTTGACCCCATGTCGCTCATCGCTCAACTAAAGAGAAAGAAGGCGAGCATACCAAAACTGTTCGAGATGAAGGTTCGCATCATTTCCCAGGCAATCTATCATCCGTCAATCGAGAACTCAGAGCTGCTCATCGATGCGCTAGATACAATACGCAATGAAGGGGTGATTTCGCAGAGGCAAAGAGATCGGTTACTAATATCCATCATCGCATACGGCAAAGATGCCACAATGAAGCGGATGGAATCCGGTACGCTTGACCGGCCGTTGAATATCTATGCGAAGAGCTCAAGGAAGAAACCAGGTGACAATAAGACACCCAAGAAGACCTATGAGCAGAAGAACGGCGGTAACAACGGTCAACAGCCGAACTATAAGGGCAAGAAACCCTACAATAAGAACCGAAGGAATAGCTATAAGCCGACGGAAGCGACCAATAATTGGACGGAGACGACTAAATAGGTTGTCGGCAAGAGTGGGATGCTTCAGGTCCACTCAGAGCCAGAACTCCACCAGGTACGCGAAGTTGGCAGAAGTGATTGTGAGACACCATCAACTTCGGCGTCAAGACAGATTAGTTATAAAGGGGGCTCGGGAGAGAAAGTCTCTCAGGTGCTGCCGACGTTTAACGAGGAGCTGGAGGGAGAACCCCCCATTAGATGGACTCCTCCAAGGCTGAATCCGATCGATACAGAGATATACGAGAAGTGGATTCATGACCGACTGAAAGACGAATCGATAGTACCTATTAAAAGGACATACGTCAAAGCCTTGCTGAACCCATACGTGGTGGGAAACAGAGTGACACATAACTGCCAAATACTCTACCCATACACGAACAAAGATGGGAAATTCCCAAGTACGCAGGCGATTGGACCGGTGGTAGCATGGGCTATGGGGCAGAGGCTCATCGCGAAGATAGACCTCTCTAAAGCCTTTCATGCCGTGTTGCTGATACACCACCAGCAACCATACTACAGCTTTCTGGACCCGGCGGGGAACAGTTATTGCTATATCAAGATGCCTATGGGCGCCAAGACGGCCCCAAAGCATTTTGCGCAAGTAATGAGCTCGGTGTTGAGTCAACTAGATACGAACGACCAGATAAATGTCAGGTCGTATCAAGACGACATAGTCATTTCGGCGAATTCGAGAACAGAACTGGATGAACGGTATGATAGAATACGCGATCATCTCAGGGCCTACGGGTTTAAGATAAACCTGGACAAGTCTTCAAGAGCCGATACCCTAGACGTGCTGGGCTACCGCTTTGAAAGAGACAGAGTCACGATTCCGAAGGATAAGGAAAAGGCCATACGCTCGGCGCTACGAAGTAATGACATCAGACGAGTCATACGAGCTACGCATCAATTGGGATACTACAAGGTGATCCTAACACCCTCGCAGAGAGACTCAGCGGCCAAACTCAGGCAGATTCTGCTTAAAGTCGGGCATTTTACACAAGTAGCCAGGGACTTGCGAAAAGCCCTGGATATAAAGTGGGAATGTCGAAGAGATGAACCTTGGGAGGCCAAGAGACTCGAGATATTTGTTGATGCCTCTGACATAGCCGCGGGGCTACACGTCAGATACAATGGCAACTGTGTATTAGAAGAATCGATCCCCTTGACGCATACGGTAACGAACCTGGCGTCATTTAAGGAGATACAAGGCGCTTACAAGCTCCTAGTAAAATACAGAACCCATACGCAACACATTGACGATTCCTGCGAGAAAATAATCCTTACAGACAACCTAAGGTTGTATCAGGGGTTAATTCGGAAAGATGAACCAAGAAACGACTTGGAGATCTACGCGGCCCGGATTAGGCAACTTTACAAGGCAAAGTACGACTGTGTCGGTGCTGGCGACTGTCGGTGCAC